TACAGCTCCTCTCTTTCCCGTAGGGCAAGCTGGTCCCACGGCTCCCTTTTCTCCTGAAGGGCCAGGTGGCCCAATGGGTCCAGGAGGCCCAATGGGCCCAGGAGGCCCAGCTGACGTGGTTATCCTCTCGTTGTCTCCTGAAAAGATACGGTCAATTTACGGTGAATATTCTAATGTTCACATCTCCTCAGACATACTTTTGGTACAGAAGATGAAAACATGGATTCATGACATTTTCGTATCAATTTTCAACAATAACTCTTAGCAGTTTCAAAAGAAGTGGCTAGGAGGGCTCAACTTAAACCACTTCTCCTTGACACCAAAAGCTATCTGCCACTGAAAAATCAAGCATACGCCCAAAAGAAGATATAAACCCGCACCCGTATACCAAATATTATCACAATTCACATAATATACAGTCATTATCATCTTATAAAGCTACTTACGCTCTAGCTCCTGAACGCGCGCCTGAAGCATCCCCATCTCCTCGGTGTATTTACCTGTATGAAGACAAAGTTGCTAAGTTTTCCAGAAAACAGCTAATTGTTACTCACCATTGCTTCATAAACATTAAAAACATTGAACTGTATGACAAACCGGTGCCACTCACCTGCAAAGTACAGCAGTAGCACTGCCATTACCACAACGAGCACGGGGTTGGAAACTTGCCATAGCTTACGACATCGGTTGAACCACTTTTTCTTCTTGCTGTCGTCTGGCGGATCGCACACTCCTGTTGGACCAGAAATAAATTAAAATGTTCATCTCAGATACATTTACGAGGTACAATCTCGGATACATTTACGAGGGACAAAGTCTCTCAGAATTATCTGAAGCCTGAATTCACTTTCATGTAGTCATGAATTACATACTATTTCCTTATTTGCATAATCAGATGCCAATCATCCCCTACATGGCAAAATCCCTAGTTAGTCGGCCATCCAAAAGTGGCGGACTATGTAGGAAGCCCCCGGAGCTTGGGTTTCACAGGCTATATATACTACATGTAAGCCCTCCTTCTTTTCAGCTGATTAAACACTAATCATATATGATATTGCAGATAGTAAGTAAATGATGAAGAAAGAAAACAGGAATATCAATATTAAATAGCTCAATAGTTTATACAATAATAGCGATAATAATCAAAAGACTAATTAAATGCCAGATCCCAGATAATATTATTGACTAATAGCACAGTACGTTGATACAGCAAATAGCAAACAACATACTAACTAGAAAGGCCGACATTTGCTTGGGAGCAAATACAGCATATTTCAGTCCATCTCCCTCCCGTGCAAAAGTGGACTATTCCAAACTTACCCCAGTGCAAAACTGGCAAAGGTTCTCAAATAAATGAATTAGATAGTAGCTATATGAGAACAAAGATGCAACAACAAGTACTTTGAATCTCGAAAGCTTTACTAATCTTATTACAGGTATGCAAAAACTAACAATGATGAGATTTGATACATTTTGAAGGTCTTAGGCACATAAAATTGAATTTGTGGGTCATTACGCACCACTTAGGTGCAATGTGACCTCAGGTAACCCGCAATGGATGGAACCGGCCATTCTTTAGATAGAACATGGAACGGGTACAGCACTTTTGGCCCTTTTTTTGCTGAAAATAGCCATTAAAGTCCCCCAAACGAGTCATTTGGAAGTGGTGTATGCCAAATACATGGCTGCTATTCTGTAGACACACGTTCAAGGTACCCTTATACCGAATGTCATATCATTTGGTTATAATACCAGGGCTCAGGATCCAAAAATCAATTTTTTGTCGAAAAATGCCCCAAAAAACCTTCATAAAAATTTTTCAAAGGCATGTTTCAAAAAAATGAAAAAAAAACGTCTGGGGGTATTTGCCCACTCTACCTCCATGCCAAATTTCAGGTCATTTGGCTGAATGATGGCGGAGTTGAATCCCTTTGACTGTTTGGCAGGAGGAGGAGGAGGAGAAGGAGGAGAAACATGAGAGAACACAATATATTTCATCCATACCATGGTATGGACTGAAATACAAATAGCTAAATGACCATCATCAATATCAACATTACAATTGATTCATCTAACTTTAAAACTAGTAAACAATATTTCTATTTGTCATTATATATTTCACAACCGACGCCTCTACTATCAGCCTTTTAGAAACAAAGCCTTTCTACTAGAAGAAAGAAATTTTTTGAAATGTTTTGAATATCTCATGTGTGCTTTGATTCGTGCCACTCTGAGCATATCATGCAGTTTAATGATCTAGCTATGGCGTCAATTGAATATTGCTTTAGAAAGCAGATCTGTTTACTCTCCAAGCAGAGGTTCCGGTTGGGGTTATTTTTAGCGTGTTTTTAGGCTTTTTATCGGGGTTTCTCTTTTGCACTGAATTTTTTTCCCACCAAACCCAAATTTGCAAAAGTGCAAAAGAGAAACCCCGATAAAAAAGCCTAAAAACACGCTAAGAATATCCCCAAACCTAAACCTCTGCTTGGAGAGTAGATCTGTTCGTATATAGCAGTCGATTTTATACCAAATCATGGCGAGAAGCTTAAGGCCACACAAATATTACCTCTACAGTGCCTTACCTGGTCCCCAGATGAAAGGGCCACACAAATATTACCCGAACGGTGCCTTACCTGGTCCTGAGATGAAAGGGCCACGCCAATTTCACCTGTACGGTGCCTTACCTGGTCCACAAATGAAAGGACCATGGAAATATTACATGTACAGTGTAACGGCGAGCTCACATTCGTCGTAAGTCGTCGTACGATTTAAGTTGATGTTGTATAGGACTTCCAAGCAGGCTGACAGAACCAACGGCCGAAAAAATAGTATTTTTCATGACAACTGAATTTTGCATGTACGACGCATACGCGAATACTTCAGGAATGCTTTCAGTTTACTACCAACATGATCACACGACAGTCGCACGACGAATGTGACCGGGCCTTACGACAGCAGTTTACCTGCTCTGGAGACGTACAGACTGTTGGGTATATTCGCAGCGGCGTCCGCAGTTGACCTCCAGTCATGAGTCTGTGGCTGCTCCGTTGGCGTGGTGTCTGGGGGGAAATTACAAAATTTCAGATGGCGCCGACAGTGGCAAAATACAACATTTTTGAATTGCAATCTTCAAGAATGAGAGCATTTATTTTTCAATTGACATACACAAAAAAAAATAACGCAGATACAATCCAATCATTACAAATTACACTGATTAAAAAAAAGTATCCAGAGTAAGTAAAAATTTCCTTGTGTAAAAAATGCAGCTTAGCTTGTCTGCTGACATGCTGAACAACGTTGGGAGAAAAATGTTTACAAAAATAATTTACCTGTGTCACACGTTTTGGGATGCTGCTGTCTTCTCGGCATGATGACACTTTCCCGCTGGTTTCTGGACAGCGAAAAAAACACGTCCTACTCCAGGCGAGGCCTAAAACTCAATGCAAAATTGCCTTAGCTAAAGTAAGAAATATCGAGACAATCATATGAACACGTCAAAGGTTTCTTTGTTGTTTGTTTACTTTTACATATTGAAAGATGGAAAAGAATTTTCAAAGGGGTTATTTCAATTCTGAAGGCCACCATCTTTATTGCATCCATTTATACAGGCACAGGCACCAATACAAATGCATCTATTTTTTTTTTTGGTTTTATGATTTTGATATTTAGAATTTGTCCCGCGCTCAAAATACTTTTATTTACAATACTTCGAGTAAAAACAGCTGTTTTTACTCGAAGTAAGGTAAATATAAGTATTTCAATGGCTGAGTCTGAATACTATAGTCTAAGCATCTAGTGTCAAGCTACCCTGAATTTTAGGTCATTTGGTTTTCGTATTAGTGCACAGGAGCCAAAATGCACATTTTCTTAGTCACTGGCAAAAGGTGGTGGATGCTACCTTTCCAAAATTATATCCAGTTGCTTGAGAAACTGTCTTTTGGCAAATCTATTAAAGGCTTAACTGAGGTCCTTGGGTTTATTGAAAAGACTGATTAAAGTGCATAAAGGCAAAATGCTTTTTATTCATGAGTGCTCAAAATCCTCATCGATCTGTACATCTCTCCTGTAACTTTACATTTCGTAAGTTACATACATTAATTCTTCAATGCAGGTAGGTACAGCTAAATATCATAGAAAATCCACCACCAGACAAACTTGATAATTTCTAAATACTGCCTTAAAAGTTAAAACTTTCATAACTCTCATTTTCTGTTTTCGTGACTCAGTAAACATTTTTAAATCGTTACACATCTTTTGCACACCTTTCCTTATCTCCTTCCATTGTGAATATTAATTCATACTGAAAGTTCTCAATACCATATAAACATTCAACTTTAACAAATCAACCAAAGGTAAACCTTGTCATTCATTACTACATGTTGCACTCATGTACAGTATTGGTTTGATTTTGTAAGAGTCTTGTGTATACAATTCAATAATTCAAAATACCGGCTATACAGAAACAGATACTACTTCAATGCAGGTACATACTACACTACTGAATATCATAGAAAATCCACCACCAGACAAAATTTATGATTTTTAAATACTGCCTAAGTTAAAACTTTCATAACTGTCATTGTCTGCTCTCCTGAGTCAGTAAACATTTTAAAATCGTTACACATCTTTTACACATCTTTTTTTATCTCCTTCCATTGTGTTAGTAATTCATACTGAAGCAAGTTCTGAATACCATATAAAGATTCTAAACGTTTGACTTTAACAAATCAGCCAAAGGCAAACATTGTCATCCGTTACTACATGTTGCACATATGTACATTATTGGCTTGATTATGTAAGGGTCTTTTGTATACAATTCAAGGATTCAAAATACCGGCTATACAGATACAAAATGATACGTACAATCTTGTCAAATGGCAGTGTCACTGGTACGGATGCAAATTACTGGATGTGTCACACGCGTAATACATCACTTGTCCATGAGTAAGCCGCACTCAAAAGTCAGGCCTCTTACTTGTAAACAATTTTGGTTTAGATCATGCATTATTCTATCATGAAAGTTCATCTGTGTTGGTAGGTACATCATTTTTAAAGATAAAACTTAAATCTAACACAATAACAGTTCTCTCACCTAGAGCTTTCGACCAGTCACTCTGGTTTTCCTCAGTACACTGACCCAGTGACGCTTGTCACGTGGCTTCTTTGAAGTGTGACGTCATCACTGGATTAATAACATGCATTATACTTGTCCAGGCGTACTTATGGCTCAAACCCCCTTGACTTTGGCATACTAGCCACAATGCAATTCCCGATTAAACCACCATGAACCAGCTTCTATAGCCCTTTGGCTAAAACAAACAGTGCAGTAGGGGGATACATAAGTCCACTTCTGAGTGTTCCATTACCATACCCTTTCCCACAAGTGCTGACAACTAAGAAGAAAAATCAATAAACAACATTTTAATGCACGCTACGACTCAACTGCATGCACCTAGTTGTAAGTGCAGTGATAGTGTGGTCATCTCAATAATGATGTTTCTTAATCAGATTCTTGGGCGTCATATTCTTAGGTTTCTGCAGCCCAACATTTCAACATTTCACCTGCAAGTTGTGAAGCGTCGAAAAGCCGTTGTTCAGGTAAAGTTGCGAGGGATTGACCTGTCGCCTATATGCAAGGCCTGAAATGAAAAGGAATGAAGGAATGGACAATCATCCCGAAGATAGGGACGGACGGTGACGACAGCCGGTGATTTTACAGTGCCTAATCATCTTATTGATTTGAAGAAATCACATGCATATGTTTCCGTAATTGCTTACTTGCGGCGACTTGGCAGATAAAGTTCGCTGTCGGGTACTTTGGTAATATGCGCCATTTGCCTCCCAAATAGAAAGCCCAGCGTGTAACACCGGTACGGTATCTTGGTTGTGCACGAAACAAAAAGTTGTTGTGCTTCATCCTACGAAGAGGGGAACCATCGACCCACTTCCAAGGCACTCCTTCGCTCAATAGTCCAAACCAGAAAGGTGAACCAGTCGACACGCGATTGTGAAGGGAGATCAGGAAGTCGTCAATACCACGGTCTTTGGGCATGGCGAGGGTGCCGCCATTTTGACGACAGGTCGCGCCTGCATCGCTGAATGTCTTCCGGGTGTTGAAAGCCTTGTAGCAGGTTCCACGGTACACCTTGTAACCGTCTTCGGGGCAAGGAGCTGAAAATTACAATTAACAAGAGTTCCACGTTCTCATACCTTCGCCAAATCGTGTTAACCGTTCAAGCTGACTAATTACACATTTTTTCTCAGTGATTATGTAAATAAAAGCCTCATTTGCATGAATCAGTCAATTATATTCTGTACCCAATGACTGTCTTAATAATGCTATTGTAGCATTTCCTCATCATGCAAATGAGGTCCTGATTTAAATGAATTATGTTTAGTGATGTTTACCTTCACTGAACTTCCAAATATGGCAAGTACTAAATTCCCAGTAGCTACCAATGTAAATTAGATAGCCATTAGCTACCACTTTAAAGTTATAGCAATTGGCTATTAATAATGCAAATTAGGTTAATATACATAATCAATATTTGCCGATATAGCCCTGCCGTTTCCAGTTACATAGGTCACAAGTTTTTCTTAGTCCTAGTATAGAACTCGGCAGATATAATTTCCTCATTAATTATAAAAATTAAATCCTGATTCGCATAATTGTAATTCAATTGTGTCAAACATTTATAAAGCTATCTACATAAAAAAGATCACGACGATCATTTACCCAGTTCTTGGGTTATCCCCTCTCGCACATTCTTTAAAACAAATCGTCATGCAGTTTCAGAACAAGCTGCTAGGGGAGGCCAAACTCACACAACTTCTTTCCGAGAACAAGGGCTACCTACCATTTGAAATTCATGACCATAGCATGGTCAGATCTCGAGATATCAAAACCAAAAGTTCCACTGCAGTACCAAAACGAGCCGCTAGGGGTTCCAATCATTTCGAGGTCTCATCAAGGCCTACCCACCTACTACGTTTCATGACAATCCATCCAACAAACCTTTTTGAGTTATCGTGCTAAAAAAAAGTACACACGTACGCGCGCTACGGAAATGATAACCTTCTTGGCAAAGGAAACAAATGTTCTGCGGTGGCATTACTGACAGAATGGAATGGAAGTCTAACCCCAGCATAAACAATGTGCTTCATTGCAATACTGGCATTCTCCATGTAATTAAGTAGCAGACAAGGGTGTACATGCATTTGGTTCGTGATGACCTTGACCTACGACTCATGTGGCTAAACTACAACCTACTTTCGGTACATGGCATGCTGTAAATTGAATAACTGTCTCACATCCACGTTCAGGGCGACGTGGCATCCCTGGTGACATCCCTGGTGGGCCGAATGCTCCTGGCGACCCACCCACCCTCACAGCAACTGGCCTTATGGGCCCCTTTTCTCCCGTAGGACCAGCTGGCCCCATGGCTCCTTTCTCTCCCGTAGGACCAGCTGGCCCCACGGCTCCCTTTCGTCCTCTAGGGCCGACTGGCCCCATGGCTCCCTTTCTTCCCGTAGGACCAGCTGGTCCCATGGCTCCCTTTCTTCCTGTAGGGCCAGCTGGCCCCACGGCTCCCCTCTTTCCCGTAGGGCCAGCTGGTCCCACGGCTCCCCTCCTTCCCTTAGGGCCAGCTGGTCCCACGGCTCCTCTCTTTCCCGTAGGGCCAGTTGGTCCCACGGCTCCTTTATTTCCCGTAGGGCCAGCTGGTCCCACGGCTCCCTTCTCTCCCATAGGGCCAGCTGGTCCCACGCGTACGGCTCCTCTCTTTCCCTTAGGGCCAGCTGGTCCCACGGCTCCTTTATTTCCCGTAGGGCCAGCTGCTCCCACGGCTCCCTTTTCTCCTGAGGGTCCAGGTGGCCCAATTGGTCCAGGAGGCCCAGGTGACCAGGCAGCTGACGTGGTTATTCTCTTGTTGTCTTCTGAAAAGATACGGTCAATTTACGGTGAATATTCTAATGTTCAAATCTCCTCAGACATACCTTTGGTCCCAATGATGAAGAAAAATTGATCTGTGAAAATTTCAATTTTCAACAATAACCATTTGCAGTTTCAAAAGAAGTGGCTAGGAGGGCCCAACTTAATCCACTTCTCCTTGACACCAAAAAACTATCTGCCACTCAAAAATCAAGCAGGCACCCTACAGAAGATATAAACCCGCACCCGTGTACAAAATATTATCACAATTCACATAATATACAGTCATCATCATCTTATAAAGCTACTTACGCTCTAGCTCCTGAACGCGCGCCTGAAGCTTCCCCATCTCCTCGGTGTATTTACCTGTATGAAAACAAAGTTGCTAAGTTTTCCAGAAAACAGCTAATTGTTACTCACAATTGCTTCATGAACCATCAAAAACATTGAACTGTATGACAAACTAGCGCCACTCACCTGCAAAGTACAGCAGTAGCACTGCCATAACCACAACGAGCACGGGGTTGGAAACTTGCCATAGCTTACGACATCGGTTGAACCACTTTTTCTTCTTGCTGTCGTCTGGAGGATCGTACACTCCTGTTGGACCAGAAATAAATTAAAATGTTCATCTCAGACTCATTTACGAGGTACAATCTATGTCTTTAAAATGGCGGCAAAGACCAGCGCAGCAGAGCAGGTTGTCAAGAATTTGCTCTTCTAGCGTCCTTCACTTCAGGAAGAACCTAACCTAGTCTAACAGGTGACAAACTCTCTCAGAATTATCTGAAGCCTGAATTCACTTTCATGTAGTCATGAATTATATACTATTTCCTTATTTGCATAATCAGATGCAAATCATTCCATACATGGCAAAATCACCAGCTTCTTGTTGAGTTAGCCTCTTGAAGAGTTACAACAACAAAAAAGAAATATTAACACTTTTGTGACTTTCTGTTTTATTATGTTTACCGACCTGATTTGTTGACGTCTCTCACCATGGTAACTGGTGTCGGGTTACATAATGTTGCAATTTTATAGTTGGAGGGATGTATACTCCTGTCTGACCATATATATATATATATGAATTTATTTGAGTAAGTGCAAGAGCTCAATTATCTCATACCTTCGTATTGTATTAGTTCGGGTTCTCAGTTTTGTGCCACTGTATATAGTTTGACTTTTATTTTGCTGGTATATTAACCAAAGCATGTGAGTGGCACCATACAGTGCGAGCCTCTGGTCGCCTGAACTACCTAGGCAGTAGAGTAGCCAGTGCCAACAAAATTGAATCTTCATGGTGCCATCTAATAACCTTACAAACACCCCCCCCCCCAACC